GTTCCTTGGTCCTGTTATTTTGGAAGTGCCGCATTTTGCATCTCTTCGTGGCCGTGAACGTGAAATCGTCATTCTTCGCTCTGAGGATGGAGAGCATTGGAAAGAGCACACACTCGAGGCAACGGAGGATGCCGTTCAGGAGGTGTTGAACGAAAGCTTCGACCCTGCCGGTAACTCGAAGCGTCTACCAATGCATGTCTGTGTTTTTGTTTGTTGATCGTCTGACACCGTTTAGAGTTGAGCCAGTTGGAAGATCTGAACACGACGCGCATCACCAGAATCCTGTCAAGCGACTTTCCGCAATATTTTGCCATTGTGAGTCGCGTGCGGCAGGAGGTGCACGCGGTAGGGCCTGAGGGCGGCATGATCGCATCGACAGTCGTGCCGCAGGTGCAGGCGATTTTTCCTGAAGGTGCGCTCACGAAGACGATCAAAGTCAGTCTGCAGTCGCACAGCATTCCACAAGAGTTGGTCACCAAGTTGCACGGCAACCGCGTGGCCGTTAGTCCGATAGTGACCGTCGAGCCAAGAAGACGAAAGTTCCACAAACCGATCACGCTATGTATTCCGTTACCGCAGTCACCGAACAAGGGTATGATCACGCAGTACACCAGCCAACCGGGACAAGACCCGCCGACGCTTCGCCTGCTGTGTAGCATTACCGGCGGCACGTCGCCCGCCCAGTGGGAAGACATCACCGGCACGACACAGCTCAACTTCAGCAATGACACTGTGTCGTTCACTACTACGGTTTCTGCCAGGTACAGGGATTTTTTTCATGAATGGTAATCACAGGGGTACACATCAGTATGCACATGGTGAACTTGACTTCAAGCAAGAGCTAGTATTGCTCGTATGCTATGACCTGCATATGTCAAATAACGAATAATTTTTCTAACACGAAACTTCACGGCGTATTGCCGTCTTCAAGTACCATGCAGCCGTTGCCTGAACTCATTGAATAAGGTTCCCTTCCCTGAGAACAACTAGGATCAAGTGGATGGTGCGATACGCCGTGAAGTCTGAAGCAGCCAAAATTTTAGGCGACAGCTGCATTTTCGTTATTAAGTCTAGGAAGGACACGACGGCAGTAGAAAATTAACGCCATTAATGACAGCGTTTAGTTTTGAGTAAACAAACATTAAAAGCACCTGCTGCCATTTGATAAATTTCGGGATGCACGAATCTCATATGCGAGTATGTTGCGTTTGCAGGAACCGATGCAAACTCGAGCTAGAGTGAAGGGGGCCTTCCTTACCCATACTCATCCGATAGGCCAGGGTTGCGCATTCGGTATGTCATCGGATTCAAATCCGACAGGTCGCTGGTTCGAGCCCCAGTTGAGTTACTTTTCATCCTTCAAAGGTTAATAAGTACCACTCTGTGGGAAGAAACAGAAGACCGCTCATTATACTTGCGATACAACAGCTGTTCATTCTGCTCTTTGAAAAACAAAGCATTTCTGGCTGATGGCAAGAAAGTGGAGATCAGCGCCAACGGCAGACGTTATGAAAAGAAGAGCGTAAGAAATCGCTTCATCGTGAAACTGTAAGGAAGACCGGTATTCCTACGATTACAAACATTCCTTTCATCCGGTAGAACGACCGTTTCGTTACTGGTCATTCTTCTAGTGATGAGACCGTCGCATATTGCCAATCGTTTAAACGGAACTAGTTTAATAGAATCCTTTGACTCATTTTTTGCTTGCTGCTTATGAAGACAGTCGCACACCACTTAACGTAAAATTGTTGATGATGAAATTAGCTTCACCGGCTTTGAAACCTAACTCATTTTGGTTTGGCTGCTCGAGGTAGGCTGTTTCAAACTCTGCACTAACTTTAAATATATAAAACTGATGCCTCTTCCGGTAAAGAGGGCTGTCAAGAGCTGCGATCGCCTTATCTTCATCCATAGGTAAGTACTGATGTTATTCGTTCACGCTGTGTAGTACTGTTCGGCCATATGCATCTGTATTGATTTTATTTTTATGTTTGTGTGTTTATGATTCTTTCCGTTACCTGGTACTCTCTTCGGGCAGGTTTTGGCTTATGGACTGCCAGACGCCGCGAGACTCCGCTCGAATGGCGCAAGAGATATACGACGAATCCATCTCGGTGCCGTTCATGGCGAAGTTCGTCGTTTTCGCGCGACGTATCCACCCTAACGACGGACAACTGAGGGTGTTTTGCATGACCGACGATAAAGAGGACAAGACATTAGAAAAGCAAGAGCACTTCGTGGAAATTGCCAAAAGCAGAGACGTCGAAGTGTTAGCCAGTCGTCAGCAATACCTCGAGTTCGCTGGCAACCTCGTGCCGGTGACCAAGTCCGGCGAACAGCTTAGCCTTCTTTTCGTGCCGTTCCAGGAGAACCGACTCATGTTCATGATGAAGGTAAGCTTCGATGAAGTGGTACTCTTTTTTTGTTATGTTATTATTCATCGCGAATGCCTCGTTTCTAGACAAAAGAAAGCGACGATCCTGATGCCTCAGCGTCTGGCCGCATTGCGTTCATGCGGGAGCCGAAGATCCGCGCTGAATCGCTGCCACCCCAGCATCCCTCATGTACGTTGTCAATAACACTACCAGCATACACCGGAAGGACGAGTCCAGAGCTGGCCGCCCTCGAAGGTGAGTACTTTTGCTGTTTTTTGCTCTCTCTGTTGAGATTTGCCACAAATGACACATGAAAGTGGAAGTAGAGCAACTGGAATGGATTGCACTGAAGCTGTGGGAAGATTCGCATGCGCATTCGATGTCTTTGGATTGCGAACAAAGTCCTTTGGCGGTTTGTGCGAAGTTGATTCATCCCAAGGATTACCTATGCTGCTCCCACATATTTTGGCTCCTGAGTGCGCCGTTGCATGAGATTACTATCACGTACTAGTAGGTCCTGTTTCCAGGATATTTTCTCATCGATGATTGAGACTGTAGTTTCGAGTACAACACGCTTCACCACCAGGATCTTGAACAAGTGCATCCACTGCAAAAAATATGGTTACAAGACGTTCTTTGCATTGTGGCACTTTCAAATTTCATTTGCGTACCGGCGAGAATAGAGACATGATGCAGATAAGTTATTCCTCTTCTGCTTCGTTCCTTAATGGATCTCAGTGTAAAGACAGTCGTAGGCAGAATTTCTATGTTTGAAATTCCGTTTATGTCAATCCACAATGAATAAACGGTTTACTTAACCTATTGTTAAATCGATATCTTATTGCACATTTGGGTATCCGAAGTGAGGTAATACGGCTGAAAATTCGTCACTCACGTAGCTGTTCATGGCGTCATTAAGTTGACCTTGAAGTTGTAGAAGCATATTTTATTTATTTGTGTAATAGCATACATTATATATCCATAGATTTACATAAATATTACTGAAATTTTATCATTTGCCATCTCACGAGGTGATGTGCTACTCATAAGCACTTTACCTACAAAAGGTACAGCTGACGTTTTCAACGAGGCCAATCTTTAACGCAATAGCAAAACGAGCACATTGTTGTTTTTGCGCGGTCGAAAACTGTGGTGAAACGATGCTGTCTGCTTCTCTTTAGTTTGAGATAACCTTTTAAAGTTTTGCTCAGTGTGCCGCTGGTGCCTGGTGCAAAATCGAGAGTAGCACTGCTAGCTGAACGGCTGAATAACGGTGCCATAATCTTGTGCGCGATGATTTGTTGTTCCTGCACGGTGCTTTCGATTTTTGTCATGTAGAACTTGGTTGCTCACAGCATCTTGCATAGAAACGAAAGTAGTTTCCGGAAACCGAAAGCGGTTTGATAACCATATTACCGTTGCTTTGCTTATTTGTTTAGCGGGCTTCGACTTGATGAGATTTCTTTTAGTCTCCGTTTGTCTTCGCAAGTGTAAAAGTCTTATGCATTTCATGTACGTAAATTGAACCATATGAACGAGCGAAGTTCTTGGATGAAATCCTGATTTTTTCATGATGTTTTCTGGTCTTGATATGACTCCATCGATTGCGCATTACGACTACTTTAGGATTCACTACAAAATGTAAAACCGGTATAGGGAAGCCATACTTCGTAAATTTTCATTTATGTGTCTTAGGTACAGTAAACTTTGACATGAGATTCCATAAGTTTTCGTTTAACATTTGGGTAGATATCCGCTTTTTAGCATCATTGGCCTCACAACACTGTTCGATGTGAAAATCACTTTCCATAATGCATATATTTCTTTCATTTTGCACTAACGGATCCTTCTTCCCGCTACGTTAATGGTAAAAAGGCCTGCAATGAGGTTGTTTAAATGTTTCATGATTGATGTTTACCTCAATTTTTGCACAAACCGAAGACTCCAGCCATTTGTTTTGCAAAAAAGGCGGGTTATACTTACTTTGCCCTTGACGAACGCCAGCCATTTGTTCTAAATCTTGCGTCAACAGATCATTCAGAGCAAGGATTAAGACAGATCTCTATCTAAGTCCTTTGTATTGACCGTTTAGTTTGTCATTGAACGGAAGCAGTTGAATAAAACGATTCATATTTTGAGCAATATGGGAATGAGATGGGCTAATTGGAAATTCGTTTTCATTCTTAAGGTCGAAAATCTTGTTTATTTCGTGTGCTCTTAACTGAGTTATTACAGTTTCCACCGTTCCCTTTACTCGTTTTCTTTACGTGTCTAGTTTTTAATTTATGGCGTATTTTAGCTGAACAATTCCCTCGATTCGTTACCGAGTCGCCTGAAAGCTCGCCCAGGTACCACGGATCTCACCTGCCTTCAAGTCCGGAGTACATCACCGGTGAAAGCAAGGTAAGTTATCTGTTGTTATTTCGGGTGGATGATTATTTCTGACCGGTTCGTTCAAGGGCAAAAGATATACAGACGTTGTCGGCTTCGGTACGACTGACAAACGGAGTGCCAAGGTAGGCCTGAGGCCGTCGCAGGCGGAAACTGGTGTTACCGTCGCTGAGCAAGAACTCGATATCTCCGCTCGTTCCCCTGAGCGAGTGAAGACTACCACTTACGCAGAGGGTAAGAAATTGTTTATAGTGACGTGATTTCTTTTTTCGTATGAAATTTGTTTGCAGTTCTCCTGCAAATGCTAAATGACTGTCTTGATTTCTAACGACAGTCTTTGTTTCCTTCAGCAACAAATTGGTTATTTTGTCTATGTAAATTTGTATGCAGATTGTCAGGATGTGAAAATGCGCATGATGACTTTACACATATATCAATTTTCGTTGCACAAATATTCTGAAAAATTGAGACATTAAACCTTCAGAGAAATGCTGTTATATGGCAGCTGTTGACAGTATGTTTATTTCCATGGTTTTTATTGCTTTGTGCAGCAAAACATACTGTTGAACCAAATAACTGAAATACACTGTCTGACAGATCCTTCAGGCACCGAGGATAAAGGCACCCCTAGTAATTCAGTCGAACAAAGTCATAAACAAACACGATAGCATGGAACTGAACTCGCACTGGAACTCGCACTGGAACCAACCTGTTAAACCACTTTCTCCACTACCCAGGTTGAAAGTTCATTGATGGGACTTCCTACCTGATTTTTTACTGTGGCATCCGTTTTGTTTTATATGATTTCACTCCCCGAATATGGCATCGAATTAGCAGATATTCTGGATGTTACTGGAAAATATTACTGTTTACTCTGGCGGTATCCTCCTGTTTGACGATTCTGTTTCCAGACATATCATAGCGGTACCCAACTTTGCTATAGTGTACCAGAAGCTTTCTTTTTCAGAGATGGTTTTGATTAGTGAAATTCTAGAAATCGATCGTGAACCCACACAGCTAAAACCCATCGCGAAACAGGTGACACAGCCTGGAGCACTTGGCGAGGAGAAAGATATCGTTTCGCAAAAAATAGTTCACGATGTGGGCATCGACTTCGGTGAGAAGCGTCGAGTCGAATCGCCTCCGCCGAAGAAGCATATTCTGAAGAAAATAGGCGAAACCCTCACCGAGCTTCCAGTCGCGAAACCTCCTGCGGGAATTTCTGACCAGAAGGAAACGGCAATGGCGATCAGCACCAGTAACTAAGCATTGTCGTCGGACGATCGGTTGTTCACATGTGCTTGATGTGTGTTTATAGTTTCGTCACAGACGCCAACTATGGATGAGGTGACGGTGAAATCAGCTCGCGTTGGAGAGTTCGTGCCCACAGGCATTTCGGTGTCGGTCATCGAACGTGCCACCGGTACTGGTCAGGTGCACGCAGTGACCGACGTGTCTGAAACGCAATACGTTGGCGGCGCAGAACAACCGAGTACCGTGCTCCTTTCCGGCACCCCCTTGAAGGAAGATGCATACAAAGGTTTTTTCCCATTGTTTCGAACGGTTATGCTGCCTGCCTTGTCGTACTGTTTTGTGTTCGCTATGATGTTGAGAATCTTTCTTCTGTCAGTCGGTAGCTTTTCTATCGCTTTGTAAATCACTTGCCATGTTTTCCTCGCTTTGTTTACTCCTCATGTAAATCAGGCATGTTAATTTGACTTTTGACCATACTGTACGTTTGTGTTTTTCATGGCCTGTTGCCATTAACGGGGGTGAATTGTCTCCACACCTTTTTCGATCATTATCGATCTTTGGTCAAGTCTGTCTTCTGATATCGTTCATCACGACCTGACGCTTCCATTTTCTCCCTGACAGTATGAGTGTTTTGACTACGTTAATAGCCTACTCGTTGCATTTTCGTATTTGCTCTCTCAAAGCAATGGAGCGTGCTAGCTTTATTGAAATTTATGATGCGTCTAGTGTCTCATATGAAAGTGTTGCAAAAACGGTAGTTTTGTATGACACAAAGTATCCATCTAAGCATTTGCGTTTCTGCAGAGTTCTGCTGTTGCTCCATGCTCGTCAACGTAGTGGAACATTCCGGTCTTACTGT